AGTATCTTGAATATGAGCACAAGATATTTGGTACTGAAGATACTAGAAATTGTTACAGCTTAGTTTACAGTCAGACCATTATTTCCAGATAAGGGACATCTTTTACATTTACCACATAAACTTCAAAACATTTATAATTAAAGTTGTCTATGCAAGCATTATATCTGTTTAGGTATGTGCATATCATCTGGTTCTTACTCCACTCTAGTCTTTTGAACAGGAGTAGAAGTTTATCCTTTGTTTCCTGTTTAAGATTGTGTTTCCAGTCCCAAAATCTACTTCAACTCTATACTTATAATGTCCCTGCCTATTTGCTAATTAAATCTTGACTCTTCAAGTCAATAATTAGCTGTCTATATTTCCTATTATCTTGCCCTTTCTTATGCTAATACAACTCCACACAGTAACTCTCTACCTTGAGTGGCCTTTGGGCCTTGTATTGGGTGAACATTAGTTAAAAAAAATGTTTAACATCATGGAAATTGGAATTGGCAAACCAAGTTCAAACTCTGACAGCATTCTGTTTGTATGTGCCCTTGAAACATGCACGAATAGTTCCTGTTTAAAAAGAATTTAAATACAGTAATTATGTAAATTAGTAAAATAATTTGTACCACCATCAAAAAATAAAATAAAATTAATAATTTTTTTTTTTTTTTTTTTAAATTTTATGGTAGAATTTAATTTTAGATCCTGTATTTGTTTTTGCAATTTTTTCTCAATGTTAAATAGGACTGTTTTCTTGATTACTTGGAAGCAACAATTCTAAAAGAATCTTGAACCAGTTGAAGACTTGTCAGTATATTTTTAAAGCATATTATACACTGTAACTCATTTGATTGTACTTATTTTAGATGATTAAAAAAACCTATCAAGGTTGAATACATTTTGTTGAATATATTATAAATCCCTTTTTCTTTGATATTAACTATTTAAGAGAGTCTGATAAAATATCCCAGAAATTTATCATGGATTTTCTTACTTAAATCCAACAAGGATTCAAAACACTTTGTAAATTATGGCACAGTCAATAAAAGCAATGATTGTCCTGGAGCAGCTGACAAGATATGAAAAACATTATTTCACTCTTAAGAGATTAAATCAATCAATAGTTTCAGCTTTATATGAGAAAATTATATATAAATCTTTATATATCAAAAACAGTTTTAGGAAAATCGATGAAATCGTGGAAAATCTTTTTGTGTGACATGTTTCATTCTTTAGGACATCATTGAACTGAAGTGATGTTTATACTGATGTGACTATACATGCATGCAAAGGAGAAATAACCCTTAAGTTTTCAACTTTTAAAATTTAGATTTTTTTTTTTTTTCCACATGTGTAGTCGCATCAATGTAAATATTGCTTTAGTCCAAAGAAGTCCTAAAGGACAAAATCTATCATATGAAAACTTTTCATCTTTGTTATAAATTTTCCTAAGATATGAAATGTATACATTTAGTATATTCTCTGGATGAGTTGTGATAATTGTTAAGCAATAAACAGACATGAAAAGAAAATTGACTTTAAATTAGAAATTTCAAAATGACCCAACCATTTAATATTAAGAAAAAGGTAGCCTACCAATGGTACCTTCCTTCCTTTCAAAAAGTACCTCTTTTGGGACCTGACAACACTTATCCCAGCACCTTTTCTATTTTTCAAAACAGTAAAAAAAAAAAAAAAATCTTTCATGATTGCCATCAACTCTCTTCACATTCACCTTAATATTGTCCACAGTGTGAAATTTTCTCCCTTTAAATGACAATTTTAAGAAATGTTGTTAAAAGCCAAACATTGCAGTGAGCCAAATCTGGTTTGTGGTGTATGCTGACAGATCAAGATGAGGAAGAAGAGGAGGAGTTAGGTTATATAAAATGGTTGGATACTTTCTGGATTTTCCATGGGATCCTCAGATTTTCTAATTTTCACCTTCTCAATTTCAGGTTTCCTTTCATTGTAGCCTGCATGCTTTCAACATTTTCAGGTGTTCTGCATTGTTGAAGGCCATTCAGCAACTCCCTTGCCAAATTTAAAATGTCAGTTCTAAAATTTGATCTGGCCTTCACTCGTTAAATCATCTCTGAAAGCTTTCTTCATCATTTGAATAATTCCTGTGGTTATATATCCAAGTTTAAGGCCAAATTAGATACATATTCTCTGTAAATGCAATGGTCACATTGTAGCATCTCACATGGGAGATTCTGTTCACACATTCTTAGTAACCAATCATAGAGGACCTTACTAAGTTACATCAAATCTGCATAACCATGGGCAAATTCACGCATGCACAAATAAGGTTTCCTCTGATTGATTATATCAAAGTTACACAATTCTCTAGATATTCAAAGTAGCTGGATACTTCCCAAAAGACCTCAATATTAATAAAATGCTGATATCAAGTAATGTTTGACTATACACTTTATAGATTGCTGTCTTTTTGGTTTTGTTCTTTTTATTATATCTATTTATTTGCTTTACTCCTGTAATAACCAATTCTATTATATTATCTAATTTCCTTGTAAATACTTAAACTTTCTTATTTTGTTTCTCTCACTCCCCCACTCTCTCTCTCTATCAATGTGTAGATATTTTCTTCAGAACTCCCAAACTCCAAATAAACCCATATCTATTTGCCCCCCTGCTATCTTTCTATCCTTATTGGTAACCAATATGCTTTGTCAGTAGGAGACTGGCTGGATTGTTGAAATTTGTTTATTTTAAAAGTTTTTCTATATACTTTCAAGGGGATGACTGGGGCTTTGATTGACATTGACTTTAATCTTAAAATTTAATTTTTATGTTTGTTTAATTTCTTAAATTGATATGCAAACTGGTGCCATGCTTTTTTTTTTTTTTTTTTTTTTTTTTTCTTTTTTTTCCTTTTCTTTTTTTTCCTTTTCTTTTTTTTTTTCTTTTTTCTTTTTTTTTTTTTTTTTTTTTTTTTTTCTTTCTTTTTTTCCTTTTCTTTTTTTTCCTTTTCTTTTTTTTTCTTTTTCTTTTTTTCCTTTTCTTTTTTTTTTTTCTTTTTCTTTCTTTTTTCCTTTTCTTTCTTTTTTTTCTTTTTTTTTTTTTTTCTTTTTTTTTCTTTTTTTTTTTTTTCTTTTTTTTTTTTTCTTTTTTCCTTTTCTTTTTTCTTTTCTTTTTTTCTTTTTTTTTTTTCTTTTTCTTTTTCTTTTTTTTTTTTCTTTTTTTTCCTTTTCTTTTTTTCCTTTCTTTTTTTTTTTTTTTTTTTTCTTTTTTTTTCCTTTTCTTTTTTCCTTTTTTTTTTTTCCTTTTCTTTTTCTCCTTTCTTTTTCTCTTTTCTTTTTTCTCCTTTTCTTTTTTTTCTCTTTTCTTTTTCTCCTTTTCTTTTTTCTCCTTTTCTTTTTTCTCCTTTTCTTTTTTCTCCTTTTCTTTTTTCTCCTTTTCTTTTTTCTCCTTTTCTTTTTTCTCTTTTCTTTTTTTCCTTTTCTTTTTTCTCCTTTTCTTTTTTCTCCTTTTCTTTTTTCTCCTTTTTTTTTTTTCTCCTTTTCTTTTTCTTTTTCTTTTTTCTCTTTTTTTTTTTTTTTTTTTTTTTTTTTTTTTCTTTTTCTCTTTTTTTTTTCTTTTTTTTCTCTTTTCTTTTTTATCTTTTTTTTTCTTTTTTTCTTTTTTTGCTTTTTTTTGCTTTTTTCTTTTCTTTTTGCTTTTCTCTTTTCTCATTTTTGCTTTTTTCTTTTTTTTTTTTGCTTTTTATCTTTTTTCGCTTTTTTTCTCTTTTGCTTTTTTCTTTTCTTTCTTTTTTCTTTACTTTTTTTTTCTTTACTTTTTTGCTCCTTTTTTTTCTTTTTTGCTCTTTTTCTTTTGCTTTCTTTGCTTTTTTCTTTTTTTGCTTTTTTCTTTGCTTTTTGCTTTTTTCTTTGCTTTTTGCTTTTTTTGCTTTTTTCTTTGCTTTTTGTGTTTTTTGCTTTTTTCTTTTTTCGCTTTTTTTCTCTTTTGCTTTTTTTGCTTTTCTCTTTTTCTCTTTCTTTTTGCTTTTCTTTTTTGCTCTTTCTTTTGCTTTTTTGCTCTTTTGCTTTTTTGCTCTTTTTCTTTTGCTTTTTTTGCTTTTTTTCTTTTGCTTTTTTTGCTTTTTTTCTTTGCTTTTTGCTTTTTTTCCTTTCTTTCTTTGCTTTTTGCTTTTTTTCTTTGCTTTTTTTTTGCTTTTTTTCTTTGCTTTTTTTCTTCTTTTTTGCTTTCTTTCCTTTTTTCTTTACTGTTTTGCTCTTTTTTCTCTTTCTTTTCTCTTTTCCTTTTCTTTCTCTTGTTTTATTTTTATCTTTTAAAATTAGTTTTCCAAATTGTCTCATGTTTAGTATTCCCTTGGATTCTCTTCATAAGAAAACAGATAAAGATTTTTCTGTCAGTTGAAAAGTATTTCTTTAAAAAAAAAAAAAAAACTTGATATTCTATGAACTTCATCAAACCATGTGCAACATGCAAAAATGATTGGCATTTTGTAAACATATTACAGAAATTCGTTGTGAATTCTCTGTTTCTTTTTTTGTTTTTAAGGTTTTCTCATAATAAAACCACCTTTTTATGCAAGCAACACCAAATCAACATACAATCAATATTTTAATTTTATATCAGAAACTTTCACAAAAAATTCAATCTCATCTTAAATACATTAGACTATTCTGAGCACTGGCACTTCATTTTTTAATTCCTTCAAAACTTTTCCAGTCACTCATATCAAATACAGTTTTTCTTTGGTCTAGTCTGTTTCAATGTCATCATTCAGGATGGTTGCAAGTTTTTTTGTTTTGTTTTTTTCAGAATTGAGTCCAGGAAAATTACTTGCTCTCTTGTCAACTCTATCTTTTCAGGACTCAAGCTTTCCTTAACTCATGCATGTCTCTGAACAGTGCACAGTCCATTTGATCAATTGCTTTAAGGAATCCACCATTAAATTCCACAGAAAGAGGTGAATGTTTGTATGAACAGGATTCCTGTTAAAACCATCAGGAAAATCTAAGATAACATGTGTCATTGACAATATGGTTAACTTTTTTTTCTTCTTTTTTCTTTTTCTTCTTCTTTTTCTTCTTCTTTTTCTTCTTCTTTTTCTTCTTCTTTTTCTTCTTCTTCTTTTTCTTCTTCTTTTTCTTCTTCTTTTTCTTCTTTTTTCTTTCTTTTTTCTTCCTTTTTTCTTCCTTTTTTCTTTTTTCTTTCTTTTTTCTTTTTTTCTTTTTCTTTTTTCCCTTTTTTTCTTTTTTCTTCCTTTTTTCTTTTCTCTTTTTCCTTTTTCCTTTTCTCTTTTTCCTTTTTCCTTTTTTCCTTTTCTCTTTTTTCCTTTTTTCCTTTTCTCTTTTTTCCTTTTTTCCTTTTCTCTTTTTTCCTTTTTTCCTTTTCTCTTTTTTCCTTTTTTCCTTTTTTCTTTTTTTCTCTTTTTTTCTTTTCTCTTTTTTTTCCTTTTCTTCTTTTTTACCTTTTTTTTTTTTTTTTTTTTCTTTTTTGGTAAAAGTTGGCTTTATTATAAGGTACCCTTTGTATCTACAGATTTCTTATTTATTGCATTTGAATTTTCAATGCTTTCTTTCTTTCCAGACTTGTAGCTCATCTTCTCATTTGTATCTACCATTTCAAATCTGATTCTCAATACCATTGACCTTTCTCTCCTGGTTGTCTGTTCAAATTCTAAATCCACTCATTTAATATAAGATAAAACATAAACGTTATTGGAACAAATTTAGCTCAAGATTGTTGCCTCCTATATTTCCTATTTTGAGGCCATCTAAAAAGTTAGTTTATTAGTATCAATAAAAATTTATTAACCATCATAAAATCACAACCCTTTATTCAAGATTTAGAACTTTTCAAAATTGTCTATAAAATTGTTTCATGTGAGTGAAAGAAGCAACTTTTAGCAGGCTTTCACAAACTCTGTCCAGTTGGTTTAATCATTATTCAATTTATTTTTTCAATATTATTTCACTGCCAAAATTATCTCTAATAATCCAGAAGATTTAGTAAGGATTTACCAAGCACATGACAAGTTAAATAATTTTTAGAACTTCATTCTTTTTTTAATTTTTTTTTATTTATTCATTACATATGCAGTAAAATAAAGTTAAACCATTTTTCAAGGCTCCACTACTGCACTACTTAATTTCAGTCATGGTCATTTTCTATTGCCATAGCAGGATATGACAACACAACTGCAAAATTCAAACATGCTATCATTCATTCATCTGAGTCACTTGCAGTGGCAGGATAAAATTTTTGCTTTGCTAACAAAATCACCTCCAGAATGTTAACGGTTAAATTGCCACAACTGAAACTTTGAAAGCTCACCCAAACAACTTGCTAATAACTCTTTTTGAGGACTATTTTTCTGTGTTTGTTCTTTCATGGCACAACTTCCAGTCTCCATTGGTTTCTGCATCAAAATATGAAGTGTGTTGACTATGAACAATGATAGCCTTTATTTATTTTGAGTTTAGCCATTTCTGTTTCTTCCTCTGCGGAGATTTCAGTTGGTTCATTGTATCTTCATTCACAGTTGTCAGGAAGATCGAAAGATGGCGGCAGAGACTGGCTCAAAGTAAGAAAGTAGACTCTTTAATGATAAATCATACTAACTGGCGCTTTTCCCTAACAATGCCACCCCCAAAATTTACATGTTTATTTTTTTCCTCTCCCACCTTGTTTTTTTACCCACCACCACCTTTTTATAGGTGCCTGCTTAAAAAAAAAAAAAAAAAAAAAAATTCATACTTTTTCTTCACTTCATTTGTGATTCCTTTCTCTTTTTCTCTTTTAGCTGTCTGCTTTTAAATCTTTTTCTCACACCCTCAATCTTCAGCTGCCTGCCTGCTTGCCTGTCTGTCCTTTCATGTGCTCACATTTTATAGTCCTTATCTGAAAAGTGATTACATTCAACATTTTTTAAATTAGTAACTTTTTCTCTTTTTCATTGATGCCTGTTTTTAATTTTTCCTTTTTTAAGGCCAGTAGTACACATCACGATGCCTTCATCTGCAAGTAGTTGATCATCAAGCAAGTTGTCCCAGAATGAACATGCCAAAAACTTATTTTTATTTGTTTTTTGCTTGGTAGATACATTTTGGGACATTATAAAAATATGCACATTCTTTCATTAGAAGAATTTTTACACTGTAATTGTCTTGTGTGTTTTTTCCCTTTTTCTGCCTTCATAGTTTTCTGGTTTTTTCTTCTTTCATAGTCAATTAGTTTTACTAGTTAGCTTCTCCTTTCCGTTTTGTTTTTAAAGCTTTCTCTTTGTCACTTTTTAATGAATCCTACACTTTTCATCTTTATTATTGAGTGACATTAATGGTTATATGCATATAATATCAACTGCTGTGAATTTTTCTTGTTTAACATATTTTTATATTACAATTCTGTATGTAACATTAAGCCTTTCTTTATATTTTAGTTAAAAAGACAAAAAAAATAACCACTTAGAATTTTCCAAACATGTCAATGCTGTTTTTTTATGTTGCAAAAATTGATCTATAAATGAGTGACAAAAAGCAGATTCAAAACTTTTTTTTTTCTAAAATGTTGTTTTTCATTTTTAACAGGTGTTGGTGCTATGGGCTTATTGTGAACTAATATAGTAATTTTAATGGCAAACTAAACCTTTTAAATTTCCTTTGCTTTTCAAAACAGAAGCTTGTTAATAAAACCTTTTTAAAGAATAGGCTTCTTATAATTTGTGTTTATTTTAATTCAAATACAACTCCATATTATGATTTTGTTTCTTTTTTTTAATAAAAAAATATTGACAATCTGTTGATATTTACTGCTCATTTTTAACACTATTTCAAAAGAAGGAAATTATATATTTTAAAGTCATAATTTTAATTTTATTTTAAGATAGACATTAAATTTGCTCATCCTTCATGTTTTTAAAGTTACAATCAAAAGTATGATCTGAAAAAAATATTTACTTTCAAAACGTTTATATGGCTTCATAATGAAACTAAATTCTTTAACGTACTTAACTGCACTGAATCATTTAGAAGTATTTAAAATTAAATATTTGCTTTAACTAAATTTCTTTATCTTTTGATTTGTAAATTGTTCCAAGTTTAGATCTATCTTGGATCAATCAGAAAAAAATATCTCAAATGCAAAATACTTTTTCTTGTATCTTTTAATAAATTTATAGTTGGTAACTTGGCACTTATTGTTGAAATTTTTTTATCAAGAATATTTTAAACTTTAAAATTTTGTTTTTCAGCAAAAATTCAGAATCTTGTTTTGACCTGAACAATTTTTCAGCAATAAGGCTGTATGGCTTTCATATATTATGAAAGTTAACTTGTAAAATAACATTTAATTATTGTAACATGATTTGTTTTAGGATCATACATAAGACAAGATTTAAGATTCTAAACTGTTATTTTCAATTCTAGCATAAACTTAATGGCACTATGATTTTATAATGTCATACGAAATATGATTATTGCTTTATAAGTACCATAATCCTTTGTGTATAGATTGGTAGGTATATGATGCAGTTAGAAAAGGTAGAGAAATTTCAGGGAAAGTCTTTCTTCTATAAAAGGCATCTGATTTTAGAGCAAAGAAAATGAGCAAAACTTGTGAAAAAGGAAGAGAAAAATTTGGATATTTTGTATACTTTTGTGATTCATAAACATTACAAAAACATGATAATGACTCTTGGGGTATAAACGTTCTAAATCATCAATACACATTGAGAAAATAAATCAAAATAAAATTGAATAAATATTGTTTGTTTTGTTGATAATCTGAGGTATTTCTTTCAAAATTATTTGTATAGTCCTGAAAAGGACTGTTTGTGAAGAATTCAGGTCATTTTTCTGTGCTTACTGGCATAAGAGATCTGAGAATGTAAGGTCATTCTTGTAGAACTCTTCAAACTTTTTCATTTTTGAGTCCTGGAAATGAAATTGAGTTCTAAATTAAAGTATAAAACAAAGCAGTCATGATCTTGGCTGAAAAAATAACAGCATCATATACACACAGGATTACAGTACTTTACTTTGATATTTCAGCAATCTTAGACCTTCATGCCTAAAAAAAAAAAAAAAGTGTCAAAAAGATGGTTTTTCCCTTAACATTATTATTAACGCTATTTTTTTTTTAGCTTTACACCTCAGCAATGTTTGTTCCTAAAAAATGATGATTAGAATTTTAATGAAGCCTAAATATGTGATGAAAGTGATTTTATACATTTTCTTTTTGAAAATTTACAACAAAAATATTAAACCTTATTTATTAGCTTGTTTATTTACAAGAATAATTTTATATTTATAACATTCTAAAATCTAATACAGTGCAATATTTATCATTTACCAATTTATAAAAAAAATAAATGAAAACAATTTTTTATTTATGAATTTGTTAATATTTATTAAATTATCAAAATATTTGACCCAACTATAAGGAAATGCTTAATTACCATTTTATAAAGTTCAAATTGATTGGCAATTTTTGCCAACCATTGCAATAAATAATTTAATAAATAGTGTAAATAAAGAATCCAATTAATATTATTTTTGTTATCAATTCTCAAGAACAAAGAAAATTTATAAATTCACTTTCTTATGTTTAGGCTTTATTAAAATTCTATACATTGCTTTTTAAAACAAACATTGCAGATGTGTGAAGGTAGTTAAAATAATAGTGGTGTCAAGGAAAAAACTGTCCTTTTGACACATTTTTTTTTTTTTTTTTGTGGGCTCAAAAGTTCAAAATTGCCGATATTTCTTTCATTTTTACATAGACAAGACTTCAGGTTCATTAGTTGCCTAAAATAGCATTTAGGTTTTTATATGAACAGATTGTCATTGCTTCTAAAATATTGCATTAATGCTTTACAGCCTTCAAATAAACAGGCTTCTTTTTCTCTTTTTTTTTTTTTTTTGGTTTTTTTATAATTCTTAATTTCTGAAAATGTATTATAAATATTTTAATTATTGTAAAGTTTGTGCTGTACTAAGCATCAATCAATTTCTATTTTGTAACTTTACAAACTTGAATCCAATAATTTTGTTGAAATTTAAAAACAAAATCAACAGAATGTAAGTTGGAATAAAGATTAGTCAATAAATCAACAATAATTAAAGGTTATAAATTTGTCTTTTTTAGTACTAAAAGGATAAATGTAACTAAGTCAATTTTCATTATGTGTTTGCGATAATTTATTAAAAACTGGCTGATTATTTACTGAACATGCTCAACTGTCAAAAAGTTTTACAATTTTTCTTGTTCAAATTAAAAAAAAAAAATGTAAACAGGGATAAGCACTATTAAAAAATTTGATGTGCAAGAAACAAGACAACAGGCCAAAAAATAATAATAATAAAATAGATCTATTTTTCTCTTATATTTACCTATTTTATATACTAACAGAGCATTTTTTAAAGAATTGATGTTATTTTTAATGGATACCCATATTTGAGCAGACAATCTACTTTGAACAGTATTCTATCTACCTGGCCTATCACACAATCAAGAAATCTTAATTATCACTGTGACTTCATTTGCTGTACAAAAAGTTCATGCTGCCACTGAAGTTGACTCTGATCCATGAACAATAGTATGTTTTAATTTCATAGTTGTGTTGTCATATCCTACTATGGCAACAGAAAACAACTTTGAAAAAGAATGCAGTGGAAATGGAAGTAATATTAGTAATGGAAAAAATGTGCTCCCTACAGGATTTGAACCTATATGCCCCCCACACACACACATTTGCAGGAGAAACCACCATTTAATCTAACATGCTTTAACCACTTGGCTATTTTTCACAAATGTGCAATAGGCCAGTAAATGAAATAAAAAATACTGTTTAAAATAAAAATACAAAACTGGGCAGTTATGACTTTCAAGAAAATCTGAGCAAGTGTGCTTTAAAGCAAATAGAACTTTGCTTCATTGTGAAGCCAATCAGGACCGATAAGAATTGTGAGCCGATCAGGACCGATAAGAATTGTGAGCCGATCAGGACCGATAAGAATTGTGAGCCGATCAGGACCGATAAGAATTGTGAGCCGATCAGGACCAATAAAAATTGTGAGCCGATCAGGACCAATAAAATTGTGAGCCGATAATCAGGACCGATAAAATTGTGAGCCGTTCAGGACCGATAAAAATTGTGAGCCGTTCAGGACCGATAAGAATTGTGAGCCGATCAGGACCGATAAGAATTGTGAGCCGATCAGGACCGATAAGAATTGTGAGCCGATCAGGACCGATAAGAATTGTGAGCCGATCAGGACCGATAAGAATTGTGAGCCGATCAGGACCGATAATAGAAAAACAAGAGCTTTTGCTCTTCACTTCTGTTCAATACTGAGACAAGTAGTTGACTGACATTGTTATTGAAACTAAAAGAAAATCTTCCAACTAAGAAACTGGAATTAGTGGAAACTGTACATTGCATTCAATTTAAATTATTTTTAAGTACAAATTCTTGCTGCAAAATTTAGCAGTGACTTGTTGATTGGATCCTTTATTTTCTTAAATCATTGTTTTTTGTTTTTACCACACTAGTTTTTTCCACCTGTTTCTTTCTTATATATTAAA